AAAGAGTAGTTGCCTGCTCAAGAGCTGACATCATAGTATGAAATTTAAGTACTTGTTTTTGTGGTATTGTTATTAATCATGGTTCTATGCAGGGGTCACCCTGTCGCTCCAGCTACTGGAGTCCTGTGAATGCAGTGTTTGTATTTCAGCCTTAGTAAGTTTAGGACTGGAAAGTCATTTCTCCCCCATCACGTAAGAGTGAAATTTGTCTGAGCACCAAAGTTTGGCCTGAGAGTTTTCTCAGGGTTGCCTTTCATTCTCAAGTGTCCTGTATAACAAGCACACCAGAAGAACATAGGTACATTTCTCTTCAGCTTAACACAAAATTTGTTTCTTCTATTGTAATTCCTGAATTTGTTGTATATTTTATTAGCAATATAATTCATAAGACGGTTTGGGACTGCTCAAGTATTTTATCTGGTAATAAGGTTTCCTTGTCTTATTTTATGATGGCCTCTTAGATGCCCTCACAAAGCTGTTTTTCCATTGTGGCACCATTTGGGACCTTAAACAAATTGAAGGGGTGGACCTAGCAACCTTTCCACTTGGTTAGAAATCCATAGGATTGCCTCCCAGACAAGGTGATAGGCATAGAGTTGAGCTACTGTCAGAGTTTGTCAGAAATTGATTTCTGACAAAGCATGTGAGCATTCAGGATGATCAACCAAAGTCAACTCACTCACCTATGCAAAAGTATTAAAAATGTAGAGCTGAAAAGATACAGCTAACTCTGCATCCTTGAGCTGATGGTCAGGGATGATCAGGGCAAAGAATCCATGTATTGAATAGCATCTTTTAGAAAAGTAAGCATCTTATTTCTTCTTTTATACCATTCAAGGCCTTATGACCAAAAGATCTTACAAGAAGCTGACATAAACCAGGCAGGACACTGTATTTGATGAGGGTTAACTTGGTTTTTGTTCTCTGGGCTTTTTGTATTCTGTTTAGCTAGGGACAAATGCACGTAAGATGGATAAGGAGAAATCTCCGCTGTACAAAGGTCATGATTTTTCCTCTTTAGCTATCACATACAGCAGTAATATGTGGCTGACCTTCAGGACCTTTCAAATGTCCAGTCTGAAGTTGCAGACTTATGACACAATAAAACGTGATACATGAATGTATGAAACATGATACATGAATGCTCTGCTGCATCCCTTCTGACCTTCCCAAAGCAGAAATGGCTAGTCCAGCCCTCTTATCCTTGAGATGGCCATAGTCTGTGCAAAAGAGCTCTTAAAAAGTCTGGACCAGTGATTCCTGACACTGTGTAGGACTGCTGGTGCCCCCTCTCTTAGGCAGTAAAACAGGACCCATATATCTGCCCTAAGTGATGAGCTGGTGTCTCCAAATACCCAGATAAAATCTGTATGTTGGGCTGCTGCTTTGCACAAGAGAATGACATGGCTCAGAATAAAAGGCTTCCTCCTAGCAGGGTGAAATCCCCTTTCTGTTGTCCATGATTGATCAATCACAAACAGGGGCCGGAGACAGCCATGCAGAAATGGCTTTCAAAGCACGCCGATGGGAGGACCATAAATTACGTGAATAAAAACGCACTTTCCCAGAGCCAAAGTCATAACTTCCCATCGCTTCCCAGAACAAATACTGTCTGCTATATTTATTAGGTGGGACTGTATATGGGCAGTCACTCTAAGCGTGTTTATTTTGAAGTTATCAGTTGTTCAGTAATCTCAGGCACCTCTGGAAGATTTAACTCAGATAGAGGTTTAGGCTGGAGGTTGTGGGGTCACTGATACTAAGATAGAGAAAAGGAGAGGAAACAGCATTGTTTTTGTGGCATTATCTGAACAGTAAGGAAAAATAAATTCAGGCTTTAACGTGACTCCAAAGGAAATGGTCTACAAATCCAGCCAACAATCAGACAGCTGTGACGAGACTCTGCTTCTCTTAAAGTTTTCAGGACCTAAAGAGGGCCTACAAGAAAGCTGTAGAGGGACTTTTTACAAGGGCAGGTAGTGATAGGATTAAGGGATAATGGTTTCAGACTGAATGAGGGGAGATTTAGATTAGGTATAAGGAAGAAATTCTTCACTACAAGGGTGGTGAGACACTGGAACAGGTTGCTCAAAGAAGCTGTGGATGCCCCCGCCCTGGAAGTGTTCAAGGCCAGGCTGGATGGGGCTTTGAGCAACCTGGTCTAGTGGAAGGTGTCCCTGCCCATGGCAGGGGGTTTGGAACTAGATGATCTTTAAGTTCCTTTCCAACCCAAACCATTCTGTGATTCTATGAAGTTTGTTTTGAGCCGCAGACCAAAAACCATGGTGGCTGTACGTTAATTAAGCAAGTTGCCTCTAGAAAGCTGTTTGAGCGGTTACAGCTTTCCTTTAGCCTATTCAAGTGTTTGAGTAACTAATTTTAACTTCCCTCCTAAAATGAAATCTCTTGACTTGCTTTTTGGGCGGTAGTTTGAACCCAGAGGTGAGCTCTCCCGCGGTGGTAGCAGCATGCTGGAGTTCAGCTGGTGGCCAGAATCATCTCTAGGTCCCAGAGGTGCTCAGAGGCAGAGAGCGGGGACATGAATGTCCTGACACTAATGAAATTTGGAGTCGGGCACATGGAGGTCCATCTGCTGTTGTAAACTCCAAATAGCTCATTTTCTGTCATGTGAAGTCTTTGATTTCTTATAAGAATTGAACTTGTACTGTGGGCTATTCTGCAGCCTGGCATTTATTTTCAAGGAACATATAGGCAATGTTCTTTAAAACCTCTAATCCTCTGCAAATGTGACTGAAATCAGCTAATAGGTTCCAATTTTATTGGGAGGAGACAGACAGACAGACCCAAAGCATTAATGCATGGGACTGGTTTCCCCAGGAAGCTAGAATAAAAAAAAAAATAAATAAATAAAAAAAAAATAATAATTCAAAAAGCAAAAGAGAGGCATTGGGAGTAAAGTAAGGATTTGTTTATCGCCTTCTTAATATTTTATCATAAAACATGCTGTCTTATCCTCACGGTTTGTTGGCGGTTTGTATATTTGTGTGCCTGTGTGTATACATATTTTTGTATATAAAAATCCAGCAACATCCATTGTTTTAAAAATGAAAAATGAGAAGGATTTTACTAAAAGCATTTTGGGAAAACCTCTGCTCTCAGTTTTCCTGTCAACGTTTTTCTAAGCTTTTATTTTTATTAGCCAAAATGTTTAGAATCCTCAGGAAATCCTGGGATGAACTATTTCCTCTTCGAGCTGTAGCCCTTAGCGGGGAAAGATAAAGCTCAGATCCTTTCAAAGGTTAGAAATTTTTCAAACTGCATTTTTTGCAGATTTTTTAAATTAGAGAAAAACTAAGTTAGGAAGATGCTTAACTTCAGGCCATGGTCCTGGGAAAGATTGATCTCTTTGTAGAAAAGGCTGAAGAAACCCTTAGATCTGGGCAAGGAAGTCTTTTAGGCTTGGATCTTAATGGGGAACTGATTGCCGAATTGAGCTGTAAAAGAGGTTCAGTTGAAAGATCATCTTTACATTTTTTAAAAGTAAGCTAAAAAATAATGCTTGCTTTTCCTCAACTAGTTTGTGTATGTTAGTTAGCATGTAACAGCTTTGTATTAAGAGGCTGTTAGTGCCCTGGAGAGACTACATTATTATTATTGTTATTGTTATTATTATTAAAAAATCTCAGATCATATTTGTTACATACCTGAGGTTTTGCAGGATTAGATCCAGTTGACTGTTTCCTTTCCTTCAGATAAACTTCAATGGGAATCATAATTTTAAACTAGTGAGAACTTCCATCCTGCAAATACATGCGTACATTGTGAATTTTAAACTCTTCAGGTTCACTCCTTAAAGTGGGCTCAGTTGCTTAAAGTTGTGTCACAGACCGCAGCCTAGCAGGGCCAGCTGGAGCTCAGAATGGGCTACTTTACCCAGATTTGGAAATTATGGTTATTTTTTGGGATGGATAAGGCACTGCTGTTATAAATAAGAGAAGCTGAAAATGTGGTGAAACATGAGGCTGAGAGATGCAGGAGGCTGAGAGATGCAGGAGCCTTTTCATGAAAAATGACACATCAATACAATTTTTCAGGACTCTGAATTTACAGTCACTACATACCATTTTATTTTAGGAAAAGTGCATTTGCTTATTTATATAATTTGTGACAAATTTGTCTTAACTGCTTTTCTAATTTATTCGTCTACTTTTTATCATGTTTCTTTGAAAGGTTCTTGGAAAGCTGAACATGAAAAGCCCGGACTTGGTGGTTCAGTAACCAGTATAAATTATTCCCACAGTCTGTCACCAGTATGAAAAGATTTGTGGTAGTTCATATGAAATTTAGTAACCTTTTTGGTAAGGCAAGGAAAAAAAATGTCTTTAAGGACATTTATTTTTTTGGTTACGTAAATTTACATAGTAAAGAGTGCTTCTGCTTTTTTGATATTTTCGGGTTTGGGATGGGGACACTCAACTAGTCTACTGGGACAGTGTTACAATTCAGTATCTCTGTTCACTTTGCAAAAGGGTGGGTGAAGGGGAAGAACTAAAGGAGGGAGATGAATCATGAAGTTCCTAAAGTTTTTGCTACCAGAGGCATGCAGAAGGTCCCAATACAACAACTGTGACTTCACAAGTTCAGAAGATTTTGGTTTTTATCAAAAACCTTCCAGCTGAGTTTGGGCTTTGAATTTAAGCTAGCAGACAGGAAACAGAAGCAATAGAAGTATGCTAATTTAGGGGCTTTTTCATTCCAGCATCTCTCATGTAGCCAAGTAGTTAGCACAGATAGCCTAGAAGTTCTCAGACCATGACCTCTGAGCAATGTATGTGTTGTGAAGTTATACTTTATGCAGAATATCAAGGGTTTTGTAATAAGGTTTTCTGCTAGTAGGGGACCTTGCGTCTGACACCCCTTCCAGCTGGGACTGCCTAAAGACCAGCCCTTGTTACTGTGGGCCCTAATGGATCAATAGACTTAGAGTGCAAGAGAGTTTTCCGGTTTGGCCTTTTAGGCATTGCTGCTTTGATTCCTAGTATCTTTAATTTCTCCCCTGTTTTTCTTGTCTATGTTTCTACAGGTGCTGTTTGCTCTAAACCAAACTCTGCTCCAACATGAAAGCCTCCGAGCAGGTAGTTTGCAGGCCCCATATACCACTGAAGATCTCATCAAACATTATAACTGTGGAGACCTGAATGCTGTCATATTCAACCATGACACTTCTCAGGTAGGCAAAAGTGTTACAGATGGGCCGGCTAACTGAGAACAAATCAGCTGTTTTAATAGCAATATGCTGGTTATCACTTTATATTCCGGCTCCTCTTTCCCCTCTTCCTTCTGATGCCCTATGTTTTCTTTCCACACATGCCTCATTTACCTGGTGAGAGAGTGGGATTTCCTTGGTGTTGCTTGGCTTCTGAGGAATCATAGAATTGTTTAGGTTGGAAAAGACCTTTAAGATCATCAAGTCCAACCATTAACGTAGCGCTGCCAAGTCCACCACGAAACCACATCCCTAAGTGCCACATGTACATGTCTTTTAATACTTCCAGGGATGGTGACTCAACCACTTCCCTGGGCAGCCTGTTCTAATGCTTGAAAATGCTTTCGGTGAAGAAATTTTCCCTGATACCAAATCTAAACCTCCCCTGGTGCAACTTGGGGCCATTTCCTCTTGTCCTATTGCTTGTTGCTTGGAACAAGGAAGAGACTGCCTGGAAAACTTTCCTAGGAATGTGCCTGAAAAAAAGTTAATTATGGATGTTTGTGGGGCTGTTGAATGTAGTCCCCTCATTAAGGGCAAAAAAAAAATCTTTGTAATATTTGAGCTTATATATGAGCAGGAAGTGAACCTTATGTAAATGCTCTATAAAGTAAATAACTTCTCAAACATGTCATAATTCAATAATTTTGTATGTGTCTCAGGCAGCCCTTCAGTCTCTGTTTATCTTAGTTATCCAATGCTATTTAAAACTCTGAATGGAGCAGAAATCTACTTTCCAGACTAGTTTGATAGTTTGTGGCAAACTCTGAGATTCTCCTTTAATACATAGGTTCCTCATTCTCCTTTCCAAATCTATGGAAACTTCGCCTTTGGATGTCATCTGCTATCTCTCCTTTTTCTGATAAATGTTCCCAGGTTCCTGGCTCAGGTGTCATGACTTACTTGGAGGTGACCTGTATAAACTTCAGCAGCCACAGTAGTATATGTTTTGCCAGTGAACATCTATTAACTCATGATAGCAGTTTACCATTAGCAAATGATAACTATGTGACTTCAAGAGAGAACTGAGGTAGGGTTAGCTCAGTCTGTTGAGTGAGGCAGAGATCTCTAAGACATCATATCTTGCCATCACTATCTTGAGTTGCACAGGGCTCTGTGGGTCACTTTTTTCTCAGGGGTACAGCTGGGAAGACAAGTTGGGCCCCAACCTGGCTGTAAGGTAACAAAGTCTCCCAGCCTCACTCTGTGACATGAGTGTTTTCCCAGAGGTCTTGTATGCCCCTCTGAGAAGTTCCAGGTGGAAATGTAAGACATCCAGCAGCAGCTGGAGCTGCTCTTCCATGTCACATATCACAGAACTAGCCCGCCCATCAACAGGAGCAGAAAGACATCAGCTCGGACAATCAGAGGTCCTTAAATTCTGGACAAATGGTCACGTCTCCTCTTTTCCCCTGTCTGGTTATCATTTTCACACAGTAGAAAGACTGGTTGATGGCAATGGGATAAAACCCCTTTGCTGTCAGAGTTAATCCAGTTCTAGAAAGTGAAGCATTGTTTTAGCATGACTATGCAGGACATAACAGGGTGGTTAACGTGGCAGTTGTAGTACCAAAGCTGGAAGAGCTGTTTATTGTGGACAGCCTTGCACTGAAAAGTAAAGGGAGAAAGCAACTCAAGTAGGAATACATCTCTAAAGATGGGGTGTGTGAGTTGGAAAAACTAGAGAGCTCATGACTTTAGATGATCCTGGAGAAGATAATGGTTGTAACTATTCCTGCAATGTCACAGTACAGCACATGAGATGAGATAAACACATAATGATTTTGGAGAAATAACTCTTGCAAGGTATGTTGGTATATTTGCCACGGATGCAAAGAAAGGACTACTAGTAGGTAAAACCATGAAGACCGTCCTGGTATCTCAATGGCCTGTGTCATCTTTTAATCTCTATCAGTGTAATTTCTCCAGCAATAAAGCCTTTCTCCCTGAGACAAGTTGTGGCCGTTCACACTGGTTGCATTGACTCGCAGGCATCTGTGATTTGTTGATACAATGTCCTGTACAGACCTGTGGGTTAGACTTGAGAGGAACAGATTGCTGTGAAAATGTCTTTATCCCTGCAAATTGTTGGATCAAAAATGAGTTTAAAAACAGTGTTAAAGAAAGGTGAAAGAACCCAACAACCAATCAGAGTTCAAGCACTGGTGTGAGTCATGGTCCCAGAGTGCACACAGTTGATAAGAGATTATAACACTCACAGGCCATGGAAAATTAAAATCCCTATATGTGTACTAGTCCCTGCAGAACTCTAAATGTTGTGGAGTATTTTCCTCTCACGGGTTGTTGTTTTTAATTTGGGTAAAGAGGGTTTTTGTTTAGTGTTTTTATAAACCAGCTTTATACCATTTATTTTTAATTACAAGCTGGACAAAATAGAAAATTAAAACCTAAAATAAACTCGCTATTCATGTCAAATTTTGCTGGTTGTGGTAACTCCAAAGTTTATTCTGTGTGTTTTTTGCAAGGATGATAGACTTTTTCTGCCATGGAGAGGCTTTACCATTTGGTTACCAAATTAGATTAGCCTGACTTAAATATTACACATGGAGCATCCCCCATGGGATCTTTCTCTTGAGACATTAAATGTAGCCACAGGGATTTATCATCTGCTGAGAATGTATTGCAGATCTCATCAGGTGACAGCAAACGATTGGCCTATAGGTGCAAAAAAACCTATAAATATCATGAGTGAGATGTATCATCACTTAAACTTCAGGGCAGGTACCCATGCCAATCTTGCAAGACAAGAGTGCCACAGTGTTTTTAGAAGGTGTGGCCATTCTTCCATGATATCCAACTGCTGGCCCGGCTCTTCAAAGGTCTGATAAGTCCTTGGAGCTGATATCAACACAACTTTGCAATATGACATAGAAAGGAACAAAAAAATCAGGAACAGAGTTGTAAGACTCAATGCTTATGTGAACAGCAGAGGCCAGGAATTCAGCTCTGTTTCATGTGGCCAGGAAGACCTGCAGAAAGCTGTGACTCTTACTCTTTGAGGTTTCATTTGGGGGCTGTTTATAAGGTTACTGGTGCCTACTTGTCTCTTGAAGGTTACCAGGAGCTGCAGAATAAGGGTGAACCTGATAGCCATTGATTTAGGTCACTGTAATGAACTGGGAAGTAGCTGAGAAAATCTGACATTGCTGTAGGGACAGTGGTGGTGGAGAGTATTTATCCAGGTGCAGTAAATTCCTAGATTTCTCTGGCATGAATCGTGGGAGACGGAGCATCTTCAGTAGCTGTCCGCAAGATGCTGAGATGGCTTTAGAGCAAAACGCATCCTGGAGCAGAAAGAAGGACCAGAAATGGAAGTACTAATACTGTTGACTCGAGGCATTACAGATGAGTTTCTTGAGCCTTTTCAGCCTCCCATCAGGGAGTTTGGGAAATGAGCATTTCTCAGCACAAGTCTCGTTGACTCCTGCGACGTTTGGGAGAAGAGGGCAGAGTCGTTCTGCAACCAAGTCTGTGCCAAGGGGGTGCACAGAAGGGACAGTGCTGGGAGAAGTGTAGGGAAGGTTATTTCCTAGACTGAAGCAGGAGCTTGGACACCAGGTCAGAGGACAGTTCCATCGGCACCTGGGGATGGGGACAGGGACTGCCTCAGGGAGATGCTGCTCTACTTGGGGTTGGGAACCTGGGCTTAGCCAGGGTAAGGTGTCTGAAATGGAGGAGTGTGAGCATGGCCCCAAATCCCTGATGTTTTCCTGCCCCAAAGCCATCAGCACTGATAACAGTGGAGGACTAAACAAATCCTTCTCGGTTTCAGTGGGTTTTTTTTAAATTTTAATTAAGAACAGTGAAAGGGGGAAATACCTCTGCTTTCATGTGGTTATATTACATTCCTCATTCCTTTCTCTCTCTCCTTTTCGTAAATTTTGTTTCCAAGCACCATTTTTCCAAACGTATAAATCCTTATTTAAACTTAATAAAACTTTAAGAGGCTGAGTTTACTCAGTTAGACTGTGACCCAAAAGTAGAGTAGGACACATCTCTTCTTCTTCTACAGCCTTCTGCAAACACTTGATTATCTTGAGACTTTTGCAATCAAGAGGCTTACGTTGGAGTTTCTGGGCAGAGAGTCAAAATGATACCAAAGAGAAAGTATTCAAAGTTAAAGATAGGATAGGCATATTTTCTACTCTTTCTTTAGACTTTTTTCCCCTCAAAGAAATCATAGTTTTTTTCTCTCCTTTTGAAAAAAGTTCCCTACAGCAAAATGCATTGGATTACATCAGTAGCTTTAACTTCTATATTCTGCCTGATGCTGTCAGGGGGATTGAGGTCAGCATGTCCAGATGCATTAAAATGCAAAAAATCTTTTAGTGCAATATTAGCATATTATCTACCTCCAGAGGATACTTTTTCTTACCTGACAGCTAAGAAATTGCCTAATGACCTGAAGCCTTGATGAAGAAAAAATAGGGTGCAGAACAACTTATCTTGTATTTTGTTCCCTAATTCTTATGTAAAGGTCTTTATTCAAACATAAACATTTGAGTTTTGGGTTCAGGGATATCTTGCCAGTTACTTCCTGTGGTCCGTTTTGAGCTTTTCAGTTTTTTAAGGACAATTCTGTAAAGCAGATTCATCTTTGCCAGCATGGAATTAGCTGGTTCTCTGTTTCCTTGTATTCCTATGTACACTTTATTAAGAGGAAAATTGAAAAGCCGAGGCTGAGATTCTTCTCCTTCAACCTTTACCAAAATCTGTACCTGTGGTCTCCAGCTATTCTTTCTCCTCTTCTGTTTTCAGCCATTCTCCTGACCTGAGGAGAGGCTCCTGTCCCAGGAACAGATGGTTTCTCCTCTCTTGCTGATCCAGTATATCAGAGGCCTGCAGCTTCACTGCTGACTTTATAGACAGTTTTCTTCAAACTAGGTTGCGTACTTGTTATTTGCCTGTCCCATTTAGGGTTAACAGTACCATGCAAGAGTCAT